AAACATCTGATTGTTAGAAAGTCATGACAAGTTTAAAAAATACATAATCGTACTTTGTCTTTTTGAATATATAATTGTCCTTCAAAATAAAATAGATTATTCTTAAACTTGAACTTAGAAATATTATAAAACTTAGAAGAATTATTCTTCATACCATAAACAAGATAATCAAATGACATTTTCTATTGAATTTTCTTGACAAAGTTTGCATCAATAATCAATGTTGATTTTATTTCTTGAAGATGAAAATGCTTTGGTTTCAAGAGAATTATTCTTTTTTAATCAAAATCTAGATCTGCTTCTTTTGGTATAAGATAAGAATTTCTAAAAAAGACATTTGATAAACCTTATTATTTTTTGGATTGATAAATAATCTTCAAATCAAATCTTGATGAAGACATGCTGCAATGGGCTTGGTAACAATTCAAAATATGTATTAACATAGAATATTTGATGTTCTTGTAATTCATATATATATATATATATATATATATATATATATATATTGTCAGAATCAAAAGTATATTTTTAAGAATGATGCCTTTCTTCAAATGAATCGACAATTACAAGAAGCTCTTTCTCATGGATCTCATAGCTAATATCAATTATTATAAATTTCTTAGAATCAATAGCTATTAGATGGAGCTTATCATTTGCTCTTATTTGTGACAAAATAACACTCATAGCATATTCTCATGCATTTATATCCATGAAAAATACCTTCCAAAAGTTGATATGATATAAGATTGGTATAGAAATAAATGTTGTCTTTAAGGCTTCAAAAGATGCTTCAGCTTCTTTATTCCACTCAAATTTGTTTTTACATATTAGGCATGTAAGAAAAACCACAACTTGAAAAAAAATCTTAATGAAGATTTAATAATAATTAAAGAATCTCAAAAAATATTACATATTTTTTACTATTTTTAGAATTTTCTAATCTATGATAGTTTAGATCTTCTTAAGATCCATCATAAAACCATTATTTGAAATGATATATCCTAGGAAGTCAACTTGAATAGTGTGAAATACACACTCTTCTATCTTGATGGATAATCCTAAATCTCTTAGTTTTTGTAATACATAACAATTATGAACTTCATGCTCTTATATATTCTTAAAGTAGATTAAGATGTCATCTAAATGACAGATGATAAAATTGTCAAGAAATTTATAAAAGACATCATTCATTAAATGTTGAAAAGGAGCTAACACATTTATGAGTCCAAAAGGCATGACATTATATTCAAAATATCCATATATGATTTGAAATATAATTTTTCATTTGTCTCTTTTTTTGATGCATATTCAATTATATGCTCTTTATAGATCTATTTTTGTATAGAATCTTAGCTTGATTCAATTAATGAAGAAGTCTTAAAATTAAAGATAGAAGATACCTATTCTTAATGGTGATCTTGTTGAATCCTTAATAGTCTACACATATCCAAAGAGATATGTCTTTTTTCTTCATAAATAAGATGAGAACCCCGATTGGAAATTTAGAATGACATATGAAGTTTTTAGCTAAATTCTTGTCAATATATTTATTATGTATAGCCAACTTATTCTATAATAGGCTATAGATTGGTCCGAATGGTGGTTGAGCTCCTTCTTGAAGATTGATGGAACAATCATAAGAATGATGCTTTATAAGAATATCTACATTCTTCTTTTCAAAGATGTCTTAATAACTTTTGGTATTAGCTTGGAACACTACTTGAAATCTTTTCTCTATCAATAATATTTGTGGCATATATAATAAAAGTTGATTCTTTTTTTGCAATATGTATGAAAGTTATCACACCTACTAATAATGTTTTCAATATATTGGCCTTATAGATTTCTACTTGTTTAGGCAAATCTTAGGCTAAACTATGGAAAAAATCAAGATTGTGAGTAGTGTAGTCTATCTAAGGATTATACCTTTCTAAGCACAATAATCCTAAAATAATTGAATTAGAAAGAAATCTAATCACATTAAATTTTATTAATCTATTATGACCATTAGTTGCTACTTTTATAGAAATAATTTCATGTATAATATCCCAAAAGACAATAAATAACCATCTATTATTTCTACATGCACAAGTTTGATTTTCTTAAGTAAGGATATATCTTGTTTTTTGACAAGGTCTTTGTTTATAAATTAGGTTGTGGCTCTTGAATCCAACAAGGCTAAGTCTTTATGATTTTTTAGTCCTTAAAAAACTTCTATTATAAAATAAGGTGAGGGATTTGAAGAGAGAATAAAATCTTTACTAGGAATTGCATAAGATTCTAGCCACATGATATTATGTTGTGGTTTGACCACCATATGAAAATAATAAACATATATATTTAATATATAATTTACTATGCAATTTAGTAAGAGCCATCTTTATTAGACATTGATAACTCCTAAAATCTTATTTTGTTTCTTTTATTTATTATTTAGGACACATACTATGTAAAACTTATTATATTTATTTAAATATGTCTATAAAATTTATTAATAAATTCAATAGTAATTAATTTCCATATTTTTTATTGAAAGACTTCATAGATTAAATTTGTAATACTTTTTTTAGCTCCAAAAAAAGAAAAATTATATATATGTATATATATATATATATATATATATAAGTATATTTTTATGTGAATATGTATATATATATATATATATATATATTAGGATTTTTTATTCGTTATTTTTTTAATTAATTAATTAAGTTTTTTTAGTTACATTATTTATAAATAATTTAAAAAATAACATATAGATTTTTAATATAATAACTAATGGTTAATATGAAATTTGAATGATTATTTATCTTCCATGTTATTATGTTTGTGATATTTTTGAATTTTAACTAAAAACATAAATTTTGAAAATTATTTTTATTTTTTAAATTTTGTTCATGAAAAACCATAAAAACAAATGTGGTGCTAATGTCATGATTGTTTTTGCTAATGCCACCACAATCCACCATGTACCTAACATGTTTTATTTATTATTTTTATTCCAATTAAAATAATTATTCATATTTCTAATATATATATATATGTATATATATATATATATATACAACCATGAAAGAACGGTTTTGGTAATAGAAGAAAATAGAGGATTTTGAGTAATATTTGACTAAAAAATTAATGAGATTGTGATGGCATTAGCCATAGTATCAAACTTGTTACTTGTTGTGTTTCAAAATGTTACTGGTTGACTTTTGAAATTAGAAAAAACAAGCACTTAACTATTCTTACTAGATATTACAACAAATTTGAATAAATCTTTGTAGTTTATATTTTGTGGATTTATATATAAAAATAAAATAAATTCTACATATAAAGCCATCAATACATGTAATGTTCTCAAAAATATCATGCAGAACTTACTTAGTATCACAAAACCACAATTAAAGCTTAATATCAATATTCATTTGAACAAAAAAAATTAATTAAAAATCAAGAAGAAGCATACCGTAGTGTATTTTAAGTGAATTGTAAAACTTCTTTTCAACTTGACATTTATAAAACTAATGATTGAGATTATTTATGAATGTAAATAAAATAACTACCCTTACTAATAATACTTAAATCCTTATTTTATCAACCATTTACTTGAAGTATTTGTATAATGAGAAGATGGCTTCAAAAAGTTACTGTTTGTTTTAAAATTTTGAGTAGATTTATTTAAAATTTGATAGCTCTGCTTTCCAAGCTAAAGACTTAAGTTTTCATTAGTAAAATAGAAAAATAAATAAAAAATAAAGTTTAATCCTAAATCAGAATAGGACAGTTATGTTTGAGAATCAATTATATCAACTGTTTCTAATTACCTTCTATTATTTATATTTTCTAGAACCAAAAAAATTAAAATTAATTATGGTTATTAATGTTGTATTAAGCACTTAAAATTTAATTCATTTATGATTTTAGCTGTCAACATATTTATCCTAGTTTCATATATACACAAATTGCTAATGAAAACTTTCTATTTTATATAAATAAAATTTACATTATGTTATATTGAATCTATATCAAAACAAATTGAACTCACATAGGAACAATTGTCCAGGAATTTGCATTTTATAGACATGCTTTGAAGTAAGTTAAATGAAGTGGAATTGATTATTGATTTCAAAAATGAAAATCAATTTTTAGAATATTTATAAAGTATTTTAGAAAGTTCTGCAAGAAAGATAGTTTTGATTTTTACTCCATTTTAAATGTTTCTTTGTTAGTTTATGTGTATACCAAAACATCAAATCCACATGATGTTATTTGGTATTGAATTTAAGGAGCTTGAATTTCAGTCTAACCTATGGGAAATAATTTACTCTAAGATAATGTTCAGATCATGTTGCAGAAGATAATCATATAGTTTGTTTTAATTGTTATATTTGAGGATTGAAATTGTGCTCCAAGAATTGCTATTGTTTGTTAATTGTACAACTAAGATTTGAGAGGATTTATTGAGAAATAGAAGAAGAATAAAAAGTGACAGATGGATTTATTTTATTTTATTTTATTATGAGCACAAGGGGAATATGAATGAGAAGGGAATAGCATGGAAATGGGAGGGGAAGGAAAGGAAAGTGAAGGGAAGGGAAAAAGGGCCATTCATCCCCAATTCTCGCTCATGCCCCCCCCTGTCGCTCTCTCTCTCTCGGTCTCTCTTCCTGGTATAGACGGACGGGTAGGCCACAACGCAGCAACGATGTAAGCAAGCAAGCAACGATGCAAAGGGGCATGGCAGGGGTGGTGGCAGCGTGGCTCCCCTGCCCCCCTGCCTGCTTGCATTGCTGCATTGTTCGTTCTCTCTCTCTCTCTCTCTCTCTCTGTCTCTGGGGAGGGGATGCTGATCCAACACCGCGTCCGATCCTCTATCGCCGTGGCACCGGGGACGAAGAGCGAGGGAGGGGGAGGGGGGGGACGAGGGAGGTAGACGGGGGAAGCAGGCGCGGGGATGCGAAGGTGGATGTGATGCTCCCCTACCCTGCCCTGCCTCGCCTGTCTTTGTGTGTCTCGTTCTCTCTCTCCGACTCTCTCTCTATTTTGTCACTCTGTGAGTGAGTGAGCGAGCGAGGGAGCGAGTGTGCCCGTCTATGGTCGTGAAGTTTGTCTCTCCGTGCGCAGTTTCCCTTCTTTCTCCTGCGCGTGTCTGTGTGTGGCGGAGATCCGCAGTGAGTGTGAGTATGTCCTGACAGGGGGAAGGGATGGAGGGCGTAGGAGTGTACGCAATTTCTTAGCATGTGAAGGACGGCTGTAGCAGTAGCGATTCGGAGCATGACGAGGTGCTGTCGGTGGTGGAAAGTTAGGTCTGCGAGATGAGGAGGAGGAGGAGCAGGAGGAGGAGCGCACAGAGTCCTGGAGGGGGCGACTTTGAGGGACAGTGGCGTTGGTGTGAGGTGAGGTGAGGTAATGGGAATGTTGGACGAGCGTTGTGGTGATCGTTGTTTATGTCGAGAGGGTTGAAAACGTCGTTGGTTTAAGTGAATGGGGAGTTTGAGAGGTGACTGTTGAAGAGATTAGGTGTGTGTGTGTGTGTGTGTGTGTGTTTGGAGTCTTGATCAGTGATAAAAAAACGGAGCTTTTTGTGTATGCAATTTCGACGCTTCGGAAGTGGGTGCGAGTTGGCGCGGGAATACTGCGTCGCTTTGTGTGTTCATAGTTTCAAGGAGGTGAAGTGGCGTCTGCTGGAATCGAGATTTGGTGTATCGGGTAGGGATTCAGTTGGGAAGTATCTTCGGGGTGTTAAATGCATTATCAGATTCCGTATGGTATGGTGTGTTTAGCGTGATTATTGTTTTCTCTTGTAGATTCGTGTGGCCGGCTCTGCGGGCTGTGAGATTCATGTTGGGGGGGGGGGGAAGAAGGAGGTCACGTTCTTGGAGTTTTGTGCAACCGTAATATGATGCCTTTCTGCTTTTAATGGGTGGATTATATGTAGCCTGATTGTGGTTAGTTTTCTGGTGTTACTCAATTATCTGCGTTTAATTCACATAGGGCTTTTTAATGTGTGGCATTAAGAAGACTGACAGTTACGAGCTGCATGTTCGCAAGGTTGCGAAGTACTTGACGGAGCACAAGCGCTAGACCGCAGTTGTGGCAGCTTAGGCCCTGAACGGCTGATGTCGATTAGCTTATGAATCTATAGTGGTACGGAGACGTTATGCGGTCTCTGCGTTGTCGAAAGCGACTTAGGCGTTTGAGTCACTCGGATGCGAGCAAGTAGGAATGGGAAAGACTATAGACTTAAACAGAGGTTTGGGAATTGGTTACCTATGTGGTTTTGTCGAATTCGGATCTGTGCATTCCAGGGTAGTTTAGGTCTATATTACAAGTAACGTCGGTCCCATCATCACGCATTTATCATCGGCCCACCGTGGTCCCTACGTCACTCCATATGGAAGTCATATCTTTGAGGGAGGATGATCGGGTGGACCTGACGCAACGAGAAATACATGTTGCTCTTTTGCACAACTCTGCGGTGGCGGAGCGGAGTCACACTGTCAGGGAGCGGGAGTTAGTCGTGGAGCGGGGATTAGAAATGCAGGACCGAGATACGCACTTCATTTCATCTGCACGAGCACAGGCTTTGGTGTCTCCCATGGGCTTGCGGTCGACGTTTAGTAAACGCAAACTGGACGATTATGAGATAGGAGTGGCTGAATCGTCTGTGTCCGGAACCTCTCAGGTTGGTGTAATTTTCTTCACTTATGTACTCGGGATCAGTCCATGATGTCTTGTGAAACGCGTGCGTTTTTACTGAAATAACTGTTGGGTTGTTTGTTATTCGTTTCTCAGTCGATTGCTCACATGTTGTGTAGTGGCTTTTGAAGTACGACAACTAAATTTTGCGCAATTCCACCATCGCAGGTTCGCGCGAGAAGAGAGACTAGAGAAGATATCCAGGAAGGAAGTGTGACGGAATCTAGCGGAAGAGAAAGATTTGAGATAGGAAGGTCAGTCGCTGCAGCGGAAGCGCAGTCTCTTGATGGGGAAAGTCAAATGCGTGAAGAAGATGGTAACGCTGCCATTGACGACGACTCCACCTGGGAAGATGGCTCGAATTGGAATTTGGGTTCCTCGGGGAAAGTAAGTGAATGGAGTAAGGAACCTCCCGACAAATTTGAGGACAACAGCATAGGGGACGAGGGCATTTGGGTTGAAGGTGTCAGTGAGGACCACGGCAGCACCCTTCAAGCCGTCTTGGATGGGCCCTTGATGGCCGTTGATTTTGGGAACAATCCCAATGAGTTGACTTTGTCAAGCGACATCTCGAATAGTTCATTGCTCACAACTAGTTCATTACCCGGAGGGTCATTGTCTTCTTTAGGGATTAGTGATGTTGGGAGTATGGCGGTTGAGCGAGGTGAGACAGGGAACAATCAAGGGAGGAATGACAATCTCGCATCATCAGATGTAGAGGTAGAGGGAGAAGCAGAAGTTTATGATGGGGTTTCTGGAAAAGAGCCAGAAAGAAATGGGATGGCTGACAGTCTAGAGGAGTCGATCAGTTTAGGTTTTAGAAATTTGAGTACTTTGATAGCTCTACCTGGTAATTTTGAGTCTAACAGTAACAGCAGCAGCCTTTCAAGTCAAGCTGTTGAGAGATTAGAGAGAATTGATGGATCCTCTTCGTCACTCGTAAAATCGAGTCCTGCTCGTCTCCAATTCTTTGTGCGGGCCTATGGTCGTACAATTGTTATGCACGCCCATCCATCGGATCTTGTGGAGTCAGTACACCAACAGATTTTTGCGAAGACTGGACTTCCCGTCTCAGAACAAAGACTCATTTTTGGTCGGTTGCAGCTCCAGCAAGACCAGACTTTGGAGTCTTGCCAGGTTGTTAATGACGCTACGCTTACCCTAGTCGCTCGGATGAGAAGTACTGCTCTCCCTGCTTCTTGGCAGCTCATCAATGATCTTGTCGCTACTGTCAGGCACATGTGTGCCGTTGGTGACCAACAACTTGGACTGAAACTGATGCATTCACAAGATTGTGTGCGAGCAAGCGTGCAGGAGTTTTTGAAAATGGCAGTGAAATCTGTGCCCGTCTCTGAGCACATGCAAGTGAGTTTTTTTCTCTATTTCAGGTTCCTTTTTGTTTCTGTTTTTGTGTGTTCTCTCTCTCTCTCTCGCTTTTTTTCCCCCTCCTGGCTTCAGTGACTTTTTTAGGACTAAATAATGTAGGATTATTCGGCTTCGTTTCAGATGGACTTTGTGGCTGGACTCAAGTTTGACTTGTTGGTCAACAGTTTTTCTTTGTGATGTTTGAATTTTTTAAATTATCGTTTTTGGCAATTACTAGAGAAATTTAGCTGTCAATATGGCTTGCCATGGACTACTAAGATTAGAAATACAGGTTGTTTCTTATGCTAGTCCCACACAACGGGTCATCGATACTGAAGCTTCTTTTGGACTTAATACCTGCAGGTTTTTGAGCTAGCCGGAGCAACATCTGCCTTGGTTATGTTGCTTCTGTCTCCTGTTGAGAGTAATAGAGAATGTGCTGAAGATGCAATTACCCTATTCCTATCTTCAAATGATGAGTATCTTCCTGCCAGCATTCACTGCCATTGTGCACCTGTCCTCCTAGATTTTTGCAAACTTCTAGCCAGAAGTGCCCGAAACCATAATTTGTACGCATCCTGCCGACAAGCATTGGCTAGGTTGCTCGACACCATTGGGGTAGCTCATGGGAGTCCTTTCTTCAACGAAGCTAAAGCTGATAGTATCGTCGAGAACTTCGCTCCATTTGTGAACGAGCTTTCTGTGTGGTTGACGCAGAATTTGCGATGTACTGCTAAGGCTTACGCGGGCAAGGAATCATCTGCCTGCTTTTCTGCGTATGTGAAGGAAGCGAAGGACTTTACTGCATTTGTGATACCTCTTTGTAAAGCTATTGAGGTTTGCAAAGTTGTAGTTACGTCTGGATCTGAAAACAACACAAAAGAATCCACAGTCGTGCTTACTGAGTGCCCTCACGGTGGCGCTACGGACCCTGAAGGGCTGCTAACAGGTGAGATATTTTGTATTATCTTGAATAAGATGTATTAAGAAAATTAGATGGTTCTTTCTAGAGGGGATTTTAGAAAGGTATGGGTAGTTGCAATCTTGTGATGTGTGAGTTCTTGAAGACAATTCTTCCTGCTGTTCTTAGGAATAATAGGAAGCACATGATCCTCTGTGGGTGAAAGCTATGCTTCTGAAGGTTCTGCTGTGGCTCATTTTTGTAAATAGGTCTTAATTTAAATATGTCTAGTAATGGAAACAGTCTTGGAAAGTTGCACTTGGCGATTTTGTGCCTGTTTCAACTTTCAATGAACTCTGACTTCGTCCTCAAACTCATGTTGGTGTCAATGCAGAGTACGATTTTGCAAGAAACAGAGCACCTGGTGTGGGTGCTGAGATTGGATCTCACGGTTGGCTGCAACAGTTGTTCAAAGATCTCTTACAAGAGGTCGATAGCTGTCTGGAAGCCGTTGGGCTTATCCCTGAGCGACATAACGAGTCATTTGGGCCAGGGTCAACATTGCCTGAGGAACGGCCCTTTGAATGGGCTCCGTTTCTGGTTGTTCTCAAGGGACTGCACGCCATTGCAAAGCTGTATGAGGGAGCGATGGCTAACCTCATGGAGATGCTACTTCTGCGACGAGTTTCGTTGAATATCCTAATTAGACAATCTCGGCGGCAGGTGATTGTTCGACAAAATTCTTAATTGGACTTTTGGATAATGTCAATATTACCGTCATGATGTGTACAGCCGTGAATTTTTGACATGAGGAGACTGATAACATGTGTTTCGTAGTGAGAGTAAGTGACTTAAGTACGCGACACGCATATGTTGTTTGTTTATGGCTATTTGTTCTTGATTGGTGGGTTACTGAGCTTCCTGGTATTCTCTAGCTTGGTGTCGTTGACTCCGTTCGGATCCCACATATTTGGTAAGGACACTGATCCTTGTTTCAGTCACGTGTTCTTTCTTCTAAATCTATTTTTGTCTGTAGCTGGACGACGATTTCTGGTTATTGGATCACAAAACGTTATTGGAATTTGAATCAAAGAGACGTCTTGTGATGGCTATGCTCCCTGAACCTCAAGATGATCATGATGAACGACAAGAAGTAGTAGTGAAGCGAGCAACGCTCCTGACGGAGTCTTTTGAGCAACTCGCGTACGTTGAGCCTGAAGTGCTTCAGGGAGGTATCTCTGTGGAGTTTGCCTCTGAGGAAGCTACTGGACCAGGGGTATTACGCGAGTGGTTTTGTATGATTTGTCGAGAAATTTTCAACCCTCAAAATGCCCTTTTCTTGCCCTGTCCCAATGATAGACGAAGGTTTTTCCCGAATTCTGGTATGTCGCTTTTTTTTAAATCTATTTTTACCTTATTATATTGTGCTCACCTTAGTTTATTTAGTTTATTAATCTTTCTAGTAGCTTCTTCTATCACACATGATATTAGTTTGCAAATGGTTAGGCGACTGTCTCATGCTTCATATCAGTTGCGAGATTTCTCATTTGGACGTCTGTGGTATTTTGCAGCGTCTGGGGTTAATCCAGGACATCTGACGTACTTTAGGTTCTGTGGACGAGTAATTGCTCTTGCATTAATGCACCGTGTTCAAATGGATGTGGTCTTTGCTCTCTCTTTTTTCAAACAGCTGGCTGGGCTGCCTGTTGTGTGGGAGGATGCAAAAGATGCTGACCCATTACTCTATGAAAGTTGCAAGAAGATTTTAGAGATGGATGCAGATCTGATTGATACTGATATTTTGGGTTTAACCTTTGTTAGTGAAGTTGAAGAATTGGGTTCCCACAAATCAATGGAACTTTGCATGGGTGGAAAAGACATGGTGGTGACTAGTGCCAATCGGAGACACTTCATTGAACTGCTGGTCCAACGACGGTTAGTATCTTCTGTTGCAGAGCAGGTGAAATCGTTTTCACAAGGTTTCTCCGATTTGCTAATGAATAGCACCCAGCAACAATTCTTGAGAGCTTTGGCACCTGAGGATCTTGATCTTATGCTGTATGGAAAGGATAGAAATATCTGTCTTGAAGATTGGAAAGCACATACTGAATACCATGACTACTGTGTAACCGACGATTACATAGTCTGGTTCTGGCAGGTGAAGATTATTTCTGTTCATAAACTGCCATTTTTCTTGGTGCTTTGTTTTTAGTGGGCTCCAGAGGGAAGCTTCTCCGTGTTGGCTTTGCGTAAGTGATGTGGTTACCTATGCTAGCATCAGTCGCTTTTGTTTGTTACTCCTGGCATTTGAGTCCATCTATTACAATTGCATTACACGTGTTTTGGTCTTATTGTCTAGTCCTAAAGAAGTGTCGGGAAGATAAAGCACCACGGAACGATATCCTTCCCAACTAATCAATGTCTAGATGTGCTCCGGCATTCTCGGGTTTCTGGTAATCGTTTGAACCGGATTGTGATGTCTAACTGTGAATTGACAGGTTGTGGAAAAAATGACTTCATATGAGCGTAGAAGACTTCTCTTCTTTTCAACCTCAGTGACACACTTGCCGGCAGAAGGTTTTGCAGGGCTTTCATCAAAGTTTCATATCCACAGAGCTCACACGGATATAAGTTGGTTGCCGACTGCCCATACATGCTTCCATCAGCTAGTTCTTCCAGCTTACCCAACTTATGAAATCATGTGTGCTCGTCTGTTAGCAATCACAGATTGCCACATTGCTGAAGGGTTTGGATTTGCTTAGGGAATAAGATAGGTAGAAAATTGCATAAATAGTACAGATTCAGCCTGTTCTGTGGAGCAGGACACTATTTGGGAGGATATAAGTACCGTCACCCTTGCCAAGAAACGGTAACTTTACTGCTCTATATCAAGCTTGGTGATAGTCATTGTTCAGGGTGGAATTCCTTTCATTTGCTGTAGAGTGTATGTAAAGCATTTAACATAATGTCGCAAGACTTTCTAGTTCGTTTGAGATATTCGTTAATAGATCAGGTTGAGAATCTGATTCATCCACATGCTCCTTTGACTTCGAGGAAATAAACGTGTCGGTTCCTGTCACTGGTGCTCTCTACACTCTTATCCGTAATTAGTTTATTACACTATTTGCAAAGTGCCTCTGGGACATGAGTGCCCGGTTTTTAGTGTGTATCACATCAATTGGTAATACACACTAACAATGAGGTATTTTAAATAATGTGTATTACACTATTCATATTCACACTTAACTAGTGTGTACTCCAGTGTATACAATTTACAGATAGATTTGTGGACAACCACTGTGGGCACGACTACACTCATTCACTCTGCAACCAACAAAGCAGTCAAAGAGACCTATCTTATGAATAGTGTGTATCATACTGATTAGAAATACACACTATTTGTGTTTACACACTAACTATGGATAAGAGTATAGGTGGCAATGGAAGAATTTACATTTTTCAATCATATACCTAAATGTTTATTGTTATAACTTGAAATGCTGAGCATGAAAGTGTGCAGGTTACATTGATTGCCTACACTAAACTAAGGTTCATCAATGTTGAATCACCATTGTAATTGTAGATTGAAGTCATGTTTATTTTTTCTAATATAATTGCATAATTGACATGAATTGAAAAGTCTTGTAGAATGTTTTTGAGCTCAATTAACTTCTATAAAATAGTGTCACATGATATAAATTATTGTTTCTAATATTTTAAAATTGAATGTTATCATGATTATAAAATATTTAGACTTGTGAATATATATATATATATATATATATATAGATCACTTAAAAAATATATTTAAATGAACTTGTTGATTTTTTATCCAATTGTTAGAGTAAACTTTGTCCTACCTAACAATTTTTTAATTATGTTAGATAGTGTTACATTTAAAACTATCAACAAAAGATTTGCAATCACTAATTATGAACATAATCTTCTTTAAACTATATTAAAAATTTAGATATTATATCTAAAAAAATAACAATAATAAAAATCACTCTTGGCAATAATATAAAAAATATACTATATATTGAAATATTAGACTTATACTTTGCGGTTTATAGAGTATTTGATCTTATTTGAAAGAATATTTAAACTAATTAATTTCATTGTAAGTTTTATTGATTTGATTCCAATTAAAAAATATAAGACAAAGTGTAGATTAAATTCATAATTTTTTTCATTGTATTCCTAATTATTTTAAAAAAAAGATTCTCAAAAACTTCCAATTATAATATTTGAACTTTTGATGAATTTATATTTTTATTTAATTAAACATGTTTAAATATTTAAAATTTAATAATATTTTTTAAATCTTTGCATTGATTTTTAAAATTTAAAATTTAAAATTATTTTATTTTATTTTTAAAAATTTGTGATTTAATTATTGAAATGATGATAGAAAAACACATTGAATATATAAGACTATCAAAGTTCAATATCTTTTGCTATAATGAGCCTAAAAATGAGAACATAGTACATATAGTCTTATTATCTAATCTAACTTTAGATTATCTAAAAAAATGGTTGAATAAGCTAATAGTAGGAATTCTTTTGTTCTAGTAGATTTTCATTCGTACTTAAATTCTTAATAATTTTTTTGCCATCTTTGACTTATTCTACTATTTTAAAAGAGTGTTTAATTGAATAGAGGGTTTTAGAATTTTCTTATATTTGTTTTTCGACAACATATGGCTGTAATCTTAATTATTGGACTAAGTTATTTGTCTTACTTTGAAGTCATTTCATGTCTTTGATTCACATATTACTACATTTGATTAAGTCAAGATGACCTACATACATGCATTTTTAATAAGAGTCCATAATTTTTTTTTTTTTTTTTTTTTTTTTTTTGATGTGAATTTTAGAAGTAAAGATAGATTGTTTCTATGTGAAGGCCTTCCATAGCCTTCCATTAGAGGCCGTTTTATAAAGAGGCCAAATTCCACTTTTTATGGACTTTAAAATAGTCATAAATTCTTTATTATATATATATATATATATATATATATATATATTCAAAGAAAAAAATAAAAATAAAAATGGTAAAAACATGTATATGTATCAAGGATATGAAGCACAAACAATCAAAAGGTCAATATATTTTTGTGTCATTTGAAAAGAATAAATAATTACTCAAAGATGGTATAATATTAAACTACAATGGCTATTGCCAAAGACAAAAAAATTAGAGTGACTTGAAATAAGACTTAAAACAAAAAAAAGCATAAACAGGAGTAAAGAGGATTCATTCTTACATCTATATATACTACATAATTAGGGGCTATGTGGTAATATTTTATAAGACTTTTAAGACATGTCTATCTTTCAAGACACATATTTAACTTGTAAGACAATTTTTTTATATGTACACCATATGATTAACTTTTATCATAAGTTACTAATATGTGCAATACATGACTAATTTGTTGACCAAGTTTCTATCCTACCAATCAACTACAAACATGTATAAAGTCAAATCTGCATCTATTAAGCTTCTAAGTAGCTTTGCTATAAGATAGTATCAAATCTACTTATATTTATCTTTTACCCAACACTTCTTATTTAAGTAAATATATATGTCCATTACAATATATAATTTTTTTTATATTAATTATTATTATTATTATTATTATTATTTTTGGAGTATAAGATTTGGTCTCTAAGTTCTTTTAATAAGATTAAATAAGTTAAAAGAAGTTAAGATTGATACTTGGAAGTTGTTAGATTTTAAGTTGGTTAGAAGCTTTAAAAGATGAACCTTCCAACTTTAAATATATTATTTAATAATTTGAAAGATTTTTCTTAATATTAGGCTTGTAAATCAAATAATAATTTTTAATACTTAGTAGAAAAATAATCAAGTAGCTTCCTATTCTAAAATTTTTTCAATACTTGAGATCAACTATGAGATTCATGAAAAAGAACTTCTTGTAATTATGGATTCATTTAAAGAATAACAACATTATCTAGAGGGCACTTCTAGTTTATTCATTGTATATACCAATCACAAGAACCTTAAGTATTTTATGGTAGTATGTATTTTGAATCATTACCAAGCTTGTTGGAGCATGTCTTTGTCAAGATTTGATTTTAAGATCACTTATTGACCATAAAAATATAAGGTTTGTTAGATGCCTTTTTTAGATGTTCTTATTTTATACTAAAAAAAAATTAGCTTCTATTCAATAAAAAATAATTCTTTTAAACTACAACATTTTTATCTTTGAACAATGAAATTAAATTGATTGTTGATTCAACCTTTTTCAAGAAAGTTCAATCAAGTATGTTTTTTAATCCTCTTGTTCATGATATTAAGAATAATTTTTTTCAATCTTATCATAATTCTAAGTTTGAGTTCAAAAATAATCTAATCTATTTTTAATAATAATTAAATATAATAGAAAAAAATATGATTACATATTTTTTAAGCTTGTCATAATTTCCTAGCTATAAGATATTTTGAATACAATAAGACTTTGGAGCTAATATTTAGAGAATTTTAGTTGCTTCAAATGTAGAAAGGAGTTAAAGACTTTGTACAATCATGTAACATTTGTTTAAGATAAAAAATTCCTTTTTGTCAATTTTATGGACCTTTTCAGCCATTATTTATTCTTGAACAATCATGGTCTTCTATTCTATGGATTTTATCACAAATCTTTAAGTCCAGGTTCTTATGACTTTATATTTGTGATAATAAATTTTATCACCAAGACTACATGTATTTAATCATATACAAATCTATTATTAGTAAATAAATAATTAAGTTTTTCATTGACAATATTTATTTCTATTATAAATTATTGAAAGATCTTATATCAAATATGGAAATCTAATTTGTATCAAGATTTGAAAAAAATCTTTTTAAGATTCTAAAGGTAGCCATAAAACTATCTTTGACTTTCCATCCTTAAATTGATGGATAAATAGAGCAAATGACTTAAGTACTAGAATAATATTTAAAATATACTATTAACTATCAGCTAGATGATTAGATAATTTTTTTGTCATTGGTAGAATTTTCTTATAATAACATGGTATACTTTTCTATTCAATAAATATCTTTCTTTGCCAATTATGGTTATCATCTACAACTTGATACTTTTGACTTTTCAAAAGTTGATAACATTATGGTGCAAGATTTGACAAATTATTTATTAGAGCTATATGTAATAATGAAGGTAAAATTAAAAGAAGTTTAAAAATAAAAAAGATCAATGAAGATGCCTATTATAAGAAATAATTTAAATTCCACATTGAAAATAAAATATGATTACTTTGTTATAATATGAAGACTATTCACCTTTGTGATAAGTTGGATTACTGTAGACTTCTGCTATTTTTTATTTGTGAATACATCAATCTAGTTGCTTATCAACTATATCAACCAAAGTCTATGAAGATCCATCTCATATTACATATATTTATTTTTGAGCCATATAAAATAATAGATATATTAAGAAGAAAAAATGCCATTGCCTCTTATAAAAGTAGAAAATAATAAAAAATTTGAGGTCAAAGAAATTTTGAATTGAAAGCATTGACAAAAAAAATTGGAATATCTTATTCATTGATATAGATACAATATTAATAAATGTACATGGAAGCTAGCCAAGAATCTAGCAAATTTTAGAAAAAAAATTAATGCTTTTCATTGATGACATTCATTAAAACTAAGATAAAAAATAGCAAATTTTTGTTATAAAAGAAATAAGATTTAAAGAAATTTACATTCTACTTTCTATTTTTGTTTGTAGTTCTTATATATTTGTGGTATTAAAAAAATAGAAAATTAATAATTTATAAATTCAACTCAAGAACTACTATTTGTTAAGATATTGCATAAGACATTGCAATTGTCATAACCTTTAAGACAACATAATAAAGATGAAGTCCCTCAAGAATAATATATTCTTTCTTAAATAGATAGTAAAATAGAACATGCTTGGTATCACAATCTTAGAAGAGATTCTCAATGTTTGATAATATTATTGGAAGTGGGAACCACTTTTGACAATGTTCTAAATATTATATTTGAGGGAAGTTACAAAGTCTTTAGCAACACTT